TTCTTTATACTTTATGTTGTATGTGGAAATTAAGCCAAGTAATAATACGACTCTCGGGGACCCTATGTTGATAGTTAGCCCCCGAAATGTTTACACTACCCCACAACTGTAATATCTTCCACGTCATCGACAAATACCACTAATATTCCAGCCAATGTTGGTAACCGGAGGTTACACCGACTCCAGCACATGACACAACAGAAGCAAGTGTTGCCGATCAAATGGTTTTAAAGAAAGAATAGCACCCATATCGCCACCAGTAAAAGCCCTCTTGGTAGCAGAGCCGATTGAAATTTCCCAAACAATACAAAAAGTTTTCTCAGACCACAGAGAGCTGGAAGAGCTGGGGCTAGTGGAAGTTTGGACCACCTGAGTCATAGCTCTCGTGACTCACTGTTTTTCTTATTGTAAATGGAACACTTTTTCATTTTCTTTTTAATTTTTTTACTGGTAAATCACTCTAACTTGCTCTTAAATTTTGAAATATTAGAAAAAATACTTTTAGTGAAGAAGACATAAACAAACTTTGTTTTTGTGTTGCATTTATTTAGGGCGAATTCAGCATTACAACAACTTGTTTTGACATTTTAAGGTGCCGTCAGCTGGGATGATGCGACTACCTAGTAGATCTACCTTGACCTGTATTCTTCTACCATGGTTTTGAAGTTTGTTTTAGTTGCAGCAAATTCGAATTTAATTGACTGATCGTTTGGTAATCAGCTGAGCTGGATCAGACCATCTTCCCTTTATCTTTTAACGTAAAGTTTACTGAATTCATGTTGCCACATTTTATATTGGTAATATGGCAATAAAATCAACATTGTGGATATGCATAATGGATAACGCAAATCGTTTATTTTACATTGAAGATCTTAATTTTTAATTTTATTTCACGAAATTTGTTACAAATTCGCATTTTGTTTATTATTTTTAAACTAAAACGAGTGACTACCAGTTACTTTTACAAAATGCTTGCCATATCTCTGTAAAAATGCATATATTTTAAAGGAAATATTTAATAATGAGAACCCGATAATGTGAACTTTATCCTATACTTTTCCTAAAGTAAGGGATAACAGAAGTGGACTATATCCATCAGTTTATAGTTGTGTTCCTCAATTAAAAAGTTTTCACTACTTTTGTCCAAAATCCATTCCGAAAAGGACGATCTTTTTCGTCGACAAGCATAGCATTCAGTGGTGGTCTACGGCTATCGGTAAATTCCAGCAAGAAAATAGCTGTTAAGCAAAATGTTTTAAAATTCTATCAAAATTAGTAATTAGTTTTTTGATGATATGATACAATTTTGAATGGTATAAAGAGAGAGATATCAATTATTGTCTGATTTGTTTAAACATGTTGTCTGTTCCAGAACGACGAGAATATAAAAGTTTTTACTACGACGACCGATTATCCCTTTATGCTATCGAAGAAAATTGCAAAAGTAGTAGAATCTTGCAGGCTCTGGAACATACTAATTTTCACATTGGGCACAAAACAGAAAAAATCTTTCTATAATGCAACAATATATCAGGATTGAATTCTCACTGATAATTTTCAACATAATTCTATTTCCAAAAAATGCATATGGGCCTTACTTTCTTTAAATTGTTATTTGAAGAAAATCGCTCGAATTTGTACAAAGTGTGAAACTCACAAAACGAGTGAGGAAAAAAATTGAGCAAATTTAATTTTTCGATGTCGCTCAAATAAGAGAGAGCATATTTTCCTCGTCATTGGCTGGGAGTAAAACTCGTTCAATATCGAGCAGATTCTACTCTTGCCGAGCACTTTTTAGTTTTTGTCATACCGTTGTTGCATTTTTATGTGTGCGTTTTTTTTTCTGCACAAGATGAGGGTATGATCTCCCTCTTTCCCCTTAGAGTACACAGCAACATCAAAACCCGGAAATCAGGAAACAAAAGGAAACACAGTCGATTTGACGATGTCCATCTGTCTGTCTATTATATTTCACGATACAGCCGTTTGGCGTAATAGTTTGAACTGTATTCGTAGTTCGTAATGGGTTCTAGCTCCGGTGGCGGAACATTGTGGATATGGGTCAAAGTTCTCGTATAGCCTCCATATAACCGTACCTCCCGACACTCTGTATTTTGATGATTTTTACCAAATTTTCCCACGGATTTGTTAAAAAATGGTATTTATAGTTCTTAATAAGTTTTAGCTCTGGTGGCGAAACATTGTAGTTAAAAGTCTACGTTTTCGTATAGTCCTCATATAACGGTACCTCCCGATATGCGGCATTTTCCACAGATCTGTCTAAAAATTGGTCTTTAAAGTTCATAATGGGCTTTAGCTCCGGTGGCAGAACATTGAATATCTGGCTCCACGTGTCTATGTCGCACATATAATGGTACTCACCAATATTTAGTATTTTGATAATATAAGTAACATTTACCCATGAAATTGTTTTCAATTCGATATTAAGGACTCGCACTAGATGATTGTCTATATAGGTTCCCATTTTGGTATAATGGTTTAACTACATTCTTCAAACAATCTTACTTGTATTTGTAGTTTAAGGTGGAACACGTTTGAATTCAGATACTTTTATATAAAAATATTTTATTTATCTAATGATGGAGGGTATTAGAAGTTCGGTACGGCCAAGCTTAATGTTTCTTACTTTACTTGTTTCCAATAATTTACACTCTTAGAGCGCGCTCTTGCTCTGTTTCGACCGAGTTTGCTCCTAATCTAAAAGTTCATGTAAAGGAACGAAGGTTATGCCTCCTTTGATACGTTTGTCTGATATATGCAGTTGTAACTGTAAAGTTGCAATGATATATTCTGGTTCTGATTATGATGAATTTATCGTAAAGTGATCTTTATCGAACACTTGAAGATCGAAACGAAACTCAACCTATACTACGATAACGGGATTTCTTTTGTATTTTGTTCTGTTTGCGTAGCTGAATGGAAACGAAAACAAAACTGAAATATACTCTGCTGGATGACGCAACATTGGAAACGAAACAGTATAAAACTCATTGCAAACGTTTCCCTGTATATTAACTCATTAGAGACAAGGAACAGCTAATATTAATTTAAATTCATGTCTTTTTATTTATTTATTACGTCCATAATACAATGGAAACAGTGTAAAAAACAATATTTACAAGTACGGCAATAAATATAGCAGTCCCGGCGATTCCTTCGCAAACGATACAGCTCGGCAAATCACAGCCGAAGTGCATTAAGGCAATCGTATTGTTTGTGTACTTCTGGAATTGAAATGTTTGTGGCATTGTTTTGTTTGAAGTAGAAAACGATTGAAAATAATTTTAAAGCCATCATATGTAGGCTACATTTTAACGTTGACGTTTCCAGTAAAAACCTCATTCTCATTTTTTTAATTCCGTGTGAAAATATAGTCAAAAACTTCACAATACGTGAAATCGGGCAGAACCGTTATATGGAACCGTAGACACTTTTTTTTTGTTTTGACACAGAGTTGACGTTTCCAAAGAAACGCCAAAATACCAAATTATATCTAATTTCGATTAAAAATACACCTAGAACTTAAAATATATCTTATACTGGACGTCATGATTATATCGAAAATATACCAACATTTTTTTTTGAATTCATTAATTTTTAAACCGAAAACAAAAATCAGATTTTTGAACTATATATTGCGAATGAAATTACTACGGTCGACGGCCCAACAACTTCGATTCTTATTATTTTTTGGTTCGGCTATTGAATATGTAATTCGTTTTAATTTGTGAAGTCAAGATACAACTGTGACAATTAACAAAACAGCTTTAAGGGTTGCCCATATTCGACGGACCTTTAGGCCCATTCCAATCGACGAGGCTTGTCCGCAGGCAACATTCTTTGCGTCAATTGAATTTTGTACGGGAACAAATGCAAATCAATGCGAATAATTCGTTGTAAAGTGGACCGAGCGATGCCCAACTGCTGAGAACGGCGTTTTTGGGATGTTCTTGGGGACCTCTCAACACTGGCTCGTACGGCAGCGATATTCTCGGCCGATCGCCTTGGTCGACTTTTATATGGCCTCTTCGGATTAGAAAGAGCCTTACCAGTCGAAAATTTTTCGTATAAACGCTTAATGGTGTTCTTAGAAGGCGCACTTCTCACATTTTTTTTTCATAATTGACTTCTTCTGTTGAATGTAAATTTCAACTATTTCAGAGCGCTCGCGTGGCGTGTATTGGTTCATGGAAAAATTTGCTTGGACTGACGCTTCAAACGCGTTATGTCATTAAGCGATGTGACATCTCTGTCAAAAGTTATGGCGTTGCCAGATGGGTCCGTCGAATATGGGCAACCCTGTACAGCCATGTAACTTTTGGTATAAATGAGAGAATGAGTGTGACAGTTATGGTATGCAGTTTTACTGTGCTCACACCATAGAAAACGAAAGTTAGATTTTGCGTAGTCAAAATAATAATTTTGCCAGTCGGCCTATTCGAATTCAAAAACGCATTTCATCGTTTTTCAAGAATTTCACTTAATTATTCCCGTATTTTTCGATGTCACTCCGTAATGTACAGTTATATTTTATTATGTAACACTTTTAAACTGACAAATATCCTGCAGTTGTTGATATTTTTAAAATTTTAGATTTGAGTTACATCAATACGCCTGAAACGAGATAGACGACATCTGCGAATGTTTCGAAGGTAAGTGATGAGAGCATTCCTTCGTCTATATTTTTATTACTCTATGCCATAACCATTTGAAAGATTAGCAATAACTACAAGCAACATAAACTACATTATAATGATAGAAGAATATAGGTAGACGCATCGTTACAGCTGCTGGGACAATGAACTGTCAAACCAATTTTGGAATTGAAAATGTTAAATGAAAAATTATTTAAATTTGCTACATTATACTCATCTGTGCTCATTCAGTGTTTAAAAACGTGGAAACTGGTGCATTCAGTTGAACTACAAAAGTGGAAGATTTGATGTTAACAGAATGTGTTTGAAAATAAAAACAATACATGTTGTTGTAAGTGTATTTTTTATTTTGGTTTTATTTGGATTGTAATACGTTTTCATAAAATAATACATTTTATATTGATTTGCTAGCAAGGAATATGGGTAAGGAATAAACAAAACATAAAGGCACAGCATTGCACCATTTGTATTTGCCCAAAGAAAATCAATTCGATATTATTATTCGATATGTAATAAAACACGCACAAAGCAAAGTATGTAAGATCGTGTTTACACGCCTGACTTAAAGTACGTTTACACTAACTAAATCGAATTGATTTCAACTATCATTATCGTATGCGTCAAATGAAATCGAACCTTAAATCGAGTGGATTTCATTCGACGTATACGCATGGAAGATGACAGTAGAAGTTCACTGGATTTGTTATGTGTATACGGCGGCCTTATTTAATAGTGTATATGTGTGTGTTTTTTCGTTTACAATTTATGTATATAGATTATCATAATACTATGCATGTATGTTAACAAACTATTTTAATTGCTTTTTCATTAATATATGATAACAATGTATTACTTTTTCTGTAATTTATTTATGCTGTGTAATTATTTTTAAAAAGTTATTTTATGAATAATTTAATTTTCAATATGACATTTATGAGGATTGTATCCTCTATTTACATATAAGAATTAATTGTACAATAAACAGTATATTAAATAATTTAGTATCCATACCATTATAAAACATATTATGGATTTTTTGTAGGTTTTTAATAAAATTACGTGTTTTTTTTACAATGTACATACTAATTAAGAAAAATGCATTAAAAGGCTGGCATTAACAATTTGTAGTCTTAAAACAAATATACAGTACAGTGGATCTCTTATAATTTTATATATACTCTTTAAAGTTTTGCTATTTTAATAATTGTAGATAGTGGTATAGTATTATGTTTTGATATCTGCAAATTATTACAGAGGATAATGGCAAGTTACAATGGTTATTATAATAGAGTAATAGTTAAAGTTTTAGATAATTCGCTGCGGATACATATGCTTTTTGTACACATGTATACGTTTTGTTTATTAGCTATGCTGTTAAGTACAGTTATTGTTTCTATGACAATGATGTATGCTTTAATGTAATTGACCTGAAAATGACGAAGTTCTTATTAATTACATGAACCTTGGCTTTGCATTTTATTTTTTAAAATTTATAATGTTCGTTTTTTAAATTTTATGATGGATTTTGTTTTAAGGTTTATTGCGGATAGTAAAAAAAGCATAATTAGTTTCTGGTACTGTATATGTCTCTAAATGTTTGAGAGAATTCAAGATTCAATTTAACACAAAGACATAATAGTTAAAAGAGAGTTTTAAAAAAGTAAGTCAGTTTAAGAAGATTTTTTCAAAAGCACAAGCATGCACCGAAAATGCCAGAAAGTGGATTTTGACATATATTCTGAAAAATACAAGAGAAGACTGAGATGCTATTGTTGATTTATTGTTACGACATCAAAAATAGTATATTATACAAAATACAGTAAAACTAAAAGTCAGCAAAATTATTCAGAATTACATTTTCGTTTCCAAATAATTTCACACATCCAATTTTTTTTATTTCAAATAATTTTATATTCCAAAAAATTTTATTAATTCCAAAATTCTATTTGTCAAAATTCGAATTATCAAAAAATTGTCCTCCATTTCCGTTGGACAACAAGACGTGAAACCGTATGAGGAAGTAACAATTTATTCGGCATTAACATGCGATGAGCCGCTAGATGGTATCAAGTCTTTGCTCGATATTGACGGGAAAATTGGAAATTATGTGTAGTGGAGACAAGCGGCAAATAACGCGTATAGGGTATTTGAAAGATACGATGGTAGCTCAAAGCACTATCAAGCAATTTACATCATCAGGAATAAATTAGGGTATCAGCAGATGCAGTATTAGTATCGTTCAATACCGTGTTAAATTTTAAGGCTATCATAGCTAGATTTGATTTTACATATTCAGATAAAAAACAATTCACCTAATCGAACAGGAACTAAGTACACTCAGACAAGGCGAACAGTCAGTGATACAATTTTATGACGAGGTAGAGAAGAAACTGTCATTGTTAAATAATAAAACTATTATGAGCTACGACAGAACTCTAACTTTGGCCATCAATGACAAATACAGACAAGATGCACTCAGAGTATTTGTTCCGGATTAAGGAAACCTCTCTGCGAAGTGCTCTTCTCGGCCCGCGCTGTCGATCTTCCGTCAGCTCTAGCATTAGCGTAAGAGGTGGAAGCGAATCGTGAAAGATACGTTTTTGCCACATTCTCTGCGAAAAGAAATGACGAAAAATGTTTAAGTCTGAAACCTCAACAAAATTTCAGCCAAGAAAACCGTCCGATAGTAGTTGGAACAACAACCAACAAAAACCCACATTACGAAAAGAGTGCTGATGATAGTTTACAGGCTAGAGATCAAACTGAAGACATGAACTTGGATCCAATGTCGTCAAAATTTATATTTACAATATGATTCCAGAATCTCACTCAGGAGAAGAGCAGGCGGGACACTATGGTGACATAGTTCAATCCGATTGTGGGGTCATAAACGACCAGGCGGACGATAGCAGGTAAACCAATACGACTTTTAATTGACACTGGGCTTCCAAAAATTATATAAAACCTCTCTATGAACTGAAGCATATAATTCCTGTAAGTACTCCGGCTCCGAACTGATTGAATTTTTGAATGTAACGACGTTAATTTTATAGACGTGGATAAAATTGATGTGCCTTCGGCAGTTAAGGCGAACTTTCAGAAAATGTTAAAAAAACGGATTAAGGTTTTTGCTGCTCCTAAACAAGCACTACCTTATAACACAAATGTCGTTGCTACCATTAACATGGAGAATGAAGAACCTATTTATTCAAAACTATGTGGTTGTGTCTGAGTTCGTAAACTCAGAAAGAAAAAAATGGTGGCAAATGGAATAATTCGACCTTCAAGGTCGTATGTTTGGGCGGCCGAAAAAACGGTCTTGATAATCTAGGCAAACAAACGTCTTGTTATAGATTTTCGGAAACTTAATGCCAAAACAATTAGTGATGAATATTCCGTTCCGAACGCAACAATGATATTATCAAATTTAGATAAAGCAAAGTACTTTACTACTTTAGTTCTGAAATCCGGGTTTCATCAAATTGAACTCGCGCAAAGAGATAGGAAAAGCCGAATTTTGCGTAAATAACGGAAAGTACGATTTTTGCAGTCTCCCATTTGGACTAAAGAATGCCCTAAGCATGTTCCAAAGAGCGATAGATGACATACTCAGAGATGAAATAAGCAAAACATGTTACATTCCTGTTTGTTTTTTTTTTTTTTTCAAAAACAAAAGAGGATCATGTAAAACATACCGACTGTGTTCTTAGGAAACTGCTCGATGCAAACAAGAGTGTCTCTGTCGAAGATGATACCGTCGATCTCATCTTACAATCAACTATAGCAAGCTGTTAACAACCCTCACCACACGTCATTGGAATGCAAGAAGCGTTAATTTGATAGGCAAAGTACTTAAGGTTATTGCGGGTACGCCAGATGCCGATGACTGACAAGAAGCGAAATTAATCGAAAAACAACTTGTACATTCAAACAATAGACAGATAGAAATGAATACAAAAATACAAATTGAAATAGAAAAATTAACTAACGCTGTATAAACGATTCTAAAAATTGATAGAAAGGAACAAATTGATACTGTTAAACTCTTTGAAATTTGAATGGCCAGAAATCGGATAATGCTTATGGAATTTCAAAATATAATTTTATCCGTACCGTTGGCTAAAATCAATATTATAAATCCACCAGTTTTGGACCAGGATGTTTTAAAAAATGTTTATAAAAAATCAGAGCAATGAGCAATACACACACAGATTTCACAATATTAGAGCTAATGTATGTGTCTAAAGTAAAAGTAATATCAAACGAATATTGTTTGCACTTTATCATTAAATATCCTATTCCAATATGAACATGCCAGAAAATTTCTTTTTTCCCAGTACCTCACTCCAATAAATTTATTCAATTCGCTGACACCAACACTGGTAGACTGTGAAGACAAGACGTATTCAGCTACAAATTGCAAGCACACAATATCTTCAACTTATTGTCAACTGATGCCAAGCGAAATCTGTGCTCAACAACTCATATCGGGTAAATCACTGTAACACGGAAAGTAATAACCTTGACAAAGTGGCAGAGATCGATGATGGAATTGTCATTGTCAATGACGCTATAGCAGAAGTGAAGGGAGCTACCGAAAATGTAAGAAACATAAGCGGCACATTCTTCATAACCATCGAAAAAAAACGTGACTGTCAATGGTACGCTGTTCCTAAATAGAAGCAACATTGATATGCGTAGACCAGGAACACCATCATTCCCCTCGATTATTATTAATAACCAAAGTGAAATTTTAAGTTTATAATCCATCCATGAGTTGAACTTGCAAAACTTACAATATATTGGCGAACTTGAAAGAGTTGCAAGAGTGCGTACTATATTTCATATTATGCCTCATTAAGCGTAGGGTGAAGAAGAGGGAATGAGAATTTAAATCTGCCGTAGCAATGGCTATAAGGAAGACCGAGGACGGCCTTCACTTAAGTGAGGAAGTAGTGAGAACAGGATTGTCGACAATCCATCCATTTAAGGAATAAATAAAATTACGACAAATTGCCACCCAAGCGGTAATGTTTGAATAGGAACCAACAGTTAACCCAATATGAATATAAACCAGTCTTAAGACGTTTATGCGTGTAAAGGCTAACCAATTTGGTCTAAAATTAGAATTTATAGTGAAAGTATTTATAAGAATTGTAACGCGTTTTTTTTTAATAATCTTAGTGACTTTGTTTGTTTATTCAGAATTACATTTTCGTTTCCAAATAATTTCACACATCCAATTTTTTTTATTTCAAATAATTTTATATTCCAAAAAATTTTATTAATTCCAAAATTCTATTTGTCAAAATTCGAATTATCAAAAAATTGTCCTCCATTTCCGTTGGACAACAAGACGTGAAACCGTATGAGGAAGTAACAATTTATTCGGCATTAACATGCGATGAGCCGCTAGATGGTATCAAGTCTTTGCTCGATATTGACGGGAAAATTGGAAATTATGTGTAGTGGAGACAAGCGGCAAATAACGCGTATAGGGTATTTGAAAGATACGATGGTAGCTCAAAGCACTATCAAGCAATTTACATCATCAGGAATAAATTAGGGTATCAGCAGATGCAGTATTAGTATCGTTCAATACCGTGTTAAATTTTAAGGCTATCATAGCTAGATTTGATTTTACATATTCAGATAAAAAACAATTCACCTAATCGAACAGGAACTAAGTACACTCAGACAAGGCGAACAGTCAGTGATACAATTTTATGACGAGGTAGAGAAGAAACTGTCATTGTTAAATAATAAAACTATTATGAGCTACGACAGAACTCTAACTTTGGCCATCAATGACAAATACAGACAAGATGCACTCAGAGTATTTGTTCCGGATTAAGGAAACCTCTCTGCGAAGTGCTCTTCTCGGCCCGCGCTGTCGATCTTCCGTCAGCTCTAGCATTAGCGTAAGAGGTGGAAGCGAATCGTGAAAGATACGTTTTTGCCACATTCTCTGCGAAAAGAAATGACGAAAAATGTTTAAGTCTGAAACCTCAACAAAATTTCAGCCAAGAAAACCGTCCGATAGTAGTTGGAACAACAACCAACAAAAACCCACATTACGAAAAGAGTGCTGATGATAGTTTACAGGCTAGAGATCAAACTGAAGACATGAACTTGGATCCAATGTCGTCAAAATTTATATTTACAATATGATTCCAGAATCTCACTCAGGAGAAGAGCAGGCGGGACACTATGGTGACATAGTTCAATCCGATTGTGGGGTCATAAACGACCAGGCGGACGATAGCAGGTAAACCAATACGACTTTTAATTGACACTGGGCTTCCAAAAATTATATAAAACCTCTCTATGAACTGAAGCATATAATTCCTGTAAGTACTCCGGCTCCGAACTGATTGAATTTTTGAATGTAACGACGTTAATTTTATAGACGTGGATAAAATTGATGTGCCTTCGGCAGTTAAGGCGAACTTTCAGAAAATGTTAAAAAAACGGATTAAGGTTTTTGCTGCTCCTAAACAAGCACTACCTTATAACACAAATGTCGTTGCTACCATTAACATGGAGAATGAAGAACCTATTTATTCAAAACTATGTGGTTGTGTCTGAGTTCGTAAACTCAGAAAGAAAAAAATGGTGGCAAATGGAATAATTCGACCTTCAAGGTCGTATGTTTGGGCGGCCGAAAAAACGGTCTTGATAATCTAGGCAAACAAACGTCTTGTTATAGATTTTCGGAAACTTAATGCCAAAACAATT